AAGCAGTGGTATCAACGCAGAGTACTTCACCGCTGGGCTGCACGCCGGCGGTGTACATCACCAGACCGCCGGCCACCGCCATCGTCAGCGAGCCCTGCGTCATCCAGTTCAGTGCCACGCCACTGGCCAGCGTGGTGTGGGTGCCACTGACCCAGACCTGGTCGGCCGGGGTCAGGCTCAGCACGCGGCCACACCGCTGCCCAGCAGCACGGGCGCGCTCCAGCCCGGTGCCCTCGCCATCGCCGCCGGCGATGCTGCCGGCGGCACTGCCGCTGTAGGTGGCGCGCAGCGTCTCCTGCAGCTCGGTCAGGGTGGTGTCCACCGGCAGCTCGGTCGGCTCGCCGGGCAGCTGCGCCTGCTGGTTGGCGGCCGATTCGGCCAGCTGCTGCAGCAGCTGCTGGCTTTCCTGCAGCTGGCTCAATGCCTGCGGCGCGGCCATCTGCGGCGAGCCCTGCTCGGTGGTCAGCAGCAGGCCGCGTCCGGCACGCAGCGCGCCCTGTGCCTGGGTGGACAGCTCCACGCCGAAACCCCGCTCGCCTTCGCGCACATTGTCCTGGCCGCCCTTGAGGTGGCCCAGGGTCAGCGTGGTCTCGTGCTGGGTGGTGGACAGCTGCGCGCGGCCCTGCCCGGGCGTGTCGTCGAAGCGCAGCTGCTGGTAGCCGCCGGTGCCGCCCTGGCTGTCGGCCAGCGCCTGGCTCTTGAAGCCGGTGTACACCGCGGCGTGGTCGTTGCCCTCGAACCAGGCGGCGGCGTTGCCGGTGGCGGTGGCGCCCCCACCGTTGATCTGGTTGTGCTGTGCGTCCTGCTGGCCACGGCCGTTGTAGACCGCACCGACCACCACCGGGCGGTCGATATCGCCTTCCAGGAACGCCACCAGCACTTCCTGCCCACGCCGCGGCAGCACCACGCCGCCCCAGTTGTCGCCGGCCCACGGGATCATCACCCGCACCCAGGTCCAGGCGCCTCCGTTGGCCGGGGCGTTGTCGTCGCCGCCGGGATGGGCCAGGCCGCTGCTGGCGTTGCCGCCGCGCTGCCACGGGAACTGCACCTTGATGCGATGGTCGCGGTCGGACAGCAGCGGGTCGCCGTCGCTGACCACGACCGCGCTGAGCGTGCCGGTGATGGTCGGCCGCGGATGCAGGTGCGCGCCGTGGCCGTCCTCGGTCTGTGGCCGGTAGTTCACTTCGGCCGGGATGGCGACGAAGCGGTTGTCGTAGAACGCGGTGGACACCTCGCCCGGCGCCTGGCCATAGGCCAGCCCGGACAGCGCGTCCGGCAGCGCCGGCACCGCCACGCTGGCCGGACCCAGGGTCTGTTCCAGTGCGTCGAACACGTCGGCATCGAGGTTGTTGCGCGCCTGGTGCAGCACCGACAGGCACAGGAACTGTGCGTCCTCGCCGACCTGCGGATGCTGCGACAGGCCAAAGCGCGCGCCCGGTGCCAGTGCCCGCCATTGGCCGGCGCCATCGATGGTATGGGCGCGCACGCGCAGCGCGTCAACGCAGAGTACTGCTGGCCGCGTGCGTTGTCCTGCCAGCCATACGGGCCGCAGGTATCACGGTCGACAATGCCCAGGTCGTTGCCCTGCCCGGCCTCGGCGCTGGCCTGGCGACGCTCCAGGGTGCGGTAGTCCCAGGTCGTACGTTCGACCTTGCCCGGCCGCCAGCGGTGCGCGGTGGACCACTGCTGCACGCTGTCGCTGCGCTCGCTCTCGTCGCGGCGATGGAAGCGCACGCGGCCCAGCTCCGCGGTGTCGTTGCTGTGGTCGGCCAGCACCAGGGTGTGCGTGCCGAAGTCCGCGCCGCCGGGCTCGCCGGCATGCTCGAACCAGTAATAGATGCCCTCCTCGGCCAGCAGCCGCTGCACGAAGGCCAGATCGCTTTCCTGATACTGGGTGGTCAGGCTGCGCCGCGCGTACTGGCTGGCGTCACCCAGCGACCAGCGCCAGGCCGGCGCCAACCCGCTGTAGTCGGCGAACAGGTCCTCGACGATCTCGACCACGGTCTTGTCGTGGAAGACGTAGCTGTCCACCCGCTGCGACAGGAACGCCAGCCACGGTTGCAGGCGCAGCCGGTAGCGCGCCAGGCCGCCATTGCTGCCCAGCCGCTCGGCGGCGGTGATGCGACCGTGCAACGGGCGCAGGCTGGCGTCGGCCTGCTGCAGCTGCAGCAGCGCGCCCTGTCCGATCAGCGGCGCCAGCTGCAGGCCGGCATCCAGCGACAGTGCGGTGATTGTCCACTGGAAACCCATGCCGTCGATCTGCTCGACGCCATCAAGGGTTTCGGCCACCAGCACATCGCTCCCCAGCGACGTGTGCAGCCGCAGGAAGCGCTGGGCGTGCGAAGGGCCGGCCAGCGCAGAGCGCAGGGCGGGCCATTGCGGAGCAGGAACGGAGCCATCCATGGAGCAACGCGCGCAGGGCCAAGGGGCCGTGAGCGTGTTGCTGAAACAGGGGCCGAGGAAGAGGGAATTGCGACACGGCAGACAGGTCCACCGTGAAACGCAGGCGCTACCTAGGTGTCGCGCCCGCTAGGAAAACTACGAAATGCCGATCGCATGCAGAACAGGAGGGTGTTACCCGCCAAGAGACCAGCCTGAAAACAGCAGCGAGCCAGCCAAGGCAGGAATCAATGCGCCATGCCACGCGTGATCGCCGCAGCGCGCTGCTTCAGCTGGGCCACGGCATCGGGAATCATCTCCATGCCCACGTCCAGGCCCGGGTTCAGCACCAGGCCGACACCGTCGCCGATACCGGCCAGCAGCGCGTGCACCGCGATCGGCATGGCATGGGCAAACTGCGGCAGCTGCTCGTGCCACAGGCCGGCGCGCTCGGGCGAGGTGAACACCGCGAACATCGGTTCGCCGCTCTCGCTGGTCAGCACCAGCGGCGAGATGCTCTCGTCCCAGGCGCCATCTTCGCCGATGGCCTTGTCCAGCAGCACGAACGCCGTCGAGGTCAACAGGCCATCGAGGAACTGCGATGCGGTCAGTGTCCCGTCCTGGGCCTGCAGCAGGCGCACCTCGAGGTCGTTGAGGGGTTCGAACGGGGTGTCGTGGTCCATGGTGGGTTCCGGTACGTGATTGCAGGGCAGACTTTAACAGCCCCGGCGTTCAACCGATGAATCCGTGCCGCCACAGCCAGCCCAGCAGGGCCAGGCCAGCCACGACCACCAGCATCAGCGGCAGGCCGAAGCGGTGCCGCCACGGGATCGGCACCCCACCCAGCTGCTGGTCCATGGTTTCGGTGTCCAGTAACCAGCCGTGCTCGCACCGGGTGCAGGCCAGCTCATAACGGCGCTGGTAGGCGAAGCCGAACAGCAGGTCGATGCGCGCCATCCTGTAGCGCAGCTGCGGCGCGAAGTCGGTTTCCGTTCCGCAACGCAGGCAGTGGTGGGCTTCCGTAGGACCGACGATCATCACCCGTTCCTGCTGGCCGATCAGGATCATGGATCAGCGCGCCTGGCAGGCGGGCTGCTGCAGCAACCACTGCTGCGCCGCAGCCAGCGTGGCGGCATCACTGTCGGTGCGCTGGTCTGGTTCGATCTTCAGCCCATCCCCCTGGCCATTGCGATCCTGCATCACGCTGGTGGTCAGCAGCAGTGCGCTGCCATCGACCAGCGGCCGCATCACGTTGGCAGTGGACAGCCCCGAGGTGGGCTGGCCGAAACTGCGCGTCTGCGGGCGGCCGCGGAAGGCAAGCACGGTCGCCTCGCCGGAACTGGCGGTGCGCGGCCCGGTCAGCACCGCCACCGGCGCGCCTGGGTGTTTCAGCAGATAACCGGGCCCGCCGAGGTCGACCCGCACGCGCTCGCCAAGCCGCACGCTGGACGGTGTCAGCTGCCAGCGCGTGGGGCCGTCCGCGGCGGCGAAGGACCCCACGTCCTCGTCGGCGCTGGGCGTGACGCGCAACAGCGGCGCCGCGCCCAGCAGCATCGGCCACATGTTGCCACCGGTGTTGCCGCGCAGATCGACAATCCAGCCGCAGCGGCTGCCATTGTCCTGGTCATCGATGATCGCCTGCCAGCGCTTGGCACGCTCCTTCATCTGCTGGTGCGCCGTCGGGCCCTGCATGACACCGTAGCCCTCGATCTCCACCCGGCCGATACGCGGGTCCAGTACTTCGGCCGGGGCCGTCGTTGCTTTCGGAGCCGCTGTCGCTGCGCCATTGGCGCGCGCCAGGCGTTCTGCCTTCGCCTGCAGCTGCTTTGCGCTGATCCACTCGCCATGCCCGCCGGAACTGCGGCCGGTGGCCTCCTGCAGCACCGCGCGGGCCTGGGCCGGATCATTCTGCGCCGCCTTCAGGCGCGTACGGATGGCCGGCCAGTCCACGCGGTCGCGGTACAGCGACTCCTTCTCCAGCATGTCCAGCAACTGGGCCTGCGCCTGTGCTGTCGGCAGGTCGATGACGGCCGGGGCGGCAGCCTGCGCGCTGCTGCAGAACAGGGCGCCCAGTGCAGCAGCGATCACGCGAAGATCAAGCGACATTCGACGTTCCTTCGTCTTGGATGAGTACCGCAGCATACGCGCTTGCCGCTGTCGTTGTATGTCGGCTTTGGCACGCGCCGCGCACAGCAACATTTGCAACTTTGCTCATGTTGCCACTCGGGCAAAAGCGCGAAGGTGGCTCTGCCGGCGCGCTTTGCGCTGGCCGGGATTGGCGTCCTGAATCAAACATCGAAGTGATCGAGTTGCCGCCTCAACGGCAATCGCGACAATGCACCGGCTCGCCCATGGCGGGCGGTGCGTGGGGATCCTCGAGATCCGTCGGCTTTTTTCGCTTCGATTTTGACCGGCACGCCAACCCGCACCGCCCGCCACCTTGCATCCCGCAGGTGGCCTTGCCTTGTGAGGTTGCTGCCATGAACACGCCCTACCCCGCCTATCCCCGTCTGCACGCCCTGCTGGGCGATGCCCTGCCCGGCCTGGCGCTGCCCACTCCCGTGGCTGAAGCGCTGGAAGATGCATTGTGCGAGGGCGACGGCGATGCCGCGCCGTCGGCCTTCTTCGCCCGGTTGCGTGGTATCGCGCAAAGCCACGCTGCCGATGGCCAGGCCTGGCGCGAACGGCACCTCAGCGAGTCGCGTGGCCGGGAACTGGCCGAGGCCACGCGGTGCCTCGCGGCGGTGTCCGCCTGCGGGGGTGTGTTGCTGGCGGCGCAGTCGGCGCGCGAGATGGATGATGCGGCAGCGCAGTGCCCGCCGCAGGTGGAGGAAGGCCTGCTGCATGCGGTGGTGGTGCTGGCCGATCATGCGGGCGGGTTGGTGGCACCCGGTGCACGCGCGGGATCGTGACGCCGATGGATTCGTGTCGACCAAGGTCGACACCCACCAGAGCAGATTATGGCGTCGGTTGGAACCCGGAGCAGGTCATGGCGCCGGTTGGAATCCAGAGCGCATCATGGCGGTGATGGGATGAGTGCCGACCGAGGTCGGCACCCACCCGGGCGCGCGGCCGTCACCAGTCCGCGCGCAGGCCGATGTTGCCTTCGATGATGCGGCGCTTCTCGTTGCGATCGCCGCCCAGTTCGCGGGTGTAATCGGCCACCGCGTAGGCGCTGATGGTGCGGTTGAAGCGCCCGACCACACCCACGCCGGCTTCCAGCGCACGCGAGCGCTGCGAGTTGACGATCACGTCGCCGTCGAAGCGGATGCGATCCTCGCCGGAGCCGCCGTGCCAGTAGTTGAGCTTGAAGTACGGCTGCCAGCCGTTGTCGGCCAACTGGTAGTCACCGGTCAGGCGCAGGCCGATGCGGCCGGTCCAGGCGTTGTCGTTGTCGAAGCGCACGCTCGATACCGCATCACGACGGTCATCCAGCGCGGTGCGCTGCCAGATCACCTGTACCTGCGGCTCCAGCCACCAGGCCGACTGGCCGAACTGCAGCAGCGGCTTGCCGGCCTCCACCGACACGCTGGTGCCATCGCCCTTGATGCCGAAGCCCAGCCCGCGCGAGGAACGCACGCGCCCGTCGTAACGGCTCTGCATCGCTACCGCATCGATGTAGCCACCGTTGCTGCCGGTGAGTGTCCAGTACAGGCCCACGTGCTTGTCGTCCAGCCGGTTCTGGCCCACCTGCACGTTCTCCCAGCCCAGCGCCAGGCCGGTGGTCTTGCCCTGCGCGCGGGTACGGCCGACAAACACGCCGATCTGGTTGCGATGGTTGTCGTTGGCCGCAGCCCACACATCAAGGCCGGCCTGCAGGCCCATCACATCGCCGTCGAACCCGGGCTGCGCATCGCCCTTCCAGTGAATCTCGCTGCTCTGCCCGACCAGCCGGCCCCAGGCGGTGCGCAGCGCGCCCTGGTTGTACAGCAGGCGCTGCTCGCCCTGCCGTTCGTGGAACGTGCCGAGGCTGGCCAGAGAGGCCTCGCGCAGCAGGGGCGGCACCACCGCGTAGGTGGCGGTCTCCACGCGGTACAGCGGCACCACGGCGCCCTCTGCCGGGCGCGCATCCGGTGTCGGCGGCGCGCCCGTGCCGGGCAGACTGCCACCGGCCACCGGCACCTCGGGCACTTCCGGATCGGTCGGCGGCGGCGCCGGCGGTGGCTCCGGCGGCGGTGGCGGTGGGGCGGTCTCACCGGCGGTCAGGTCCGGATCGGTGGCGCCTTCGGGCGGCGGGGGTGGCGCCGGCGTGATCGGCGGCGGCGGGGCCACCGGCGGTGTTGGCGGTGGTGGCGTGACGGTACCGCCGCCATTGGGCGCCGGGGCTGGTCCCTGCACCAGCGTCGAGCGCAGGTACCAGTTCTCGCCGGTGCCCGCGCTGACCCCGCCCTTGAACAGGAAGTACTCATAGGCACCGGCCGCCACGGGCGCAAACAGCGAGAATGCGCCCGGCGCGGTGGTGGCGCCATTCAATGCCTGCACCACCAGGATGCCGTCGGTACGTGTCGCCGCACCACCGCCGCCCACGTTGAGGATGCCGACGCCGGTGCTGCCGGTGGCCGTGCCGCCGTCGAACACCAGCGTGTCACTGGCCGAATCATCGGCCCCCAGCACCGTCTTCAGGTACAGACCGCCACCGTCGCCGCGGTAATTGCCGCGCACGGTGAAGGCATCACCGGCGCTGCCGCTGGCGGTCAGGTCGATGCGCCCGGCATTGACCATGTTGACCAGGCCCGATGCCATGAACGGACGGATGGCATGGTTGCCGCCGCCAGCGAACAATGTGCTGGTGTCGTCGACGGTGAGCGTACCGGTGCCGGTGCCGGCATCGCCCAGAACCAGATTGCCGTCGAAGGTCAGTTCGGTGCTGCTGGCCAGGCTGATCGTTTCCCAGTTCTGGAAGCGCCCGACGCCGGTGGTCTTGACGTTGGTGAGGTTGAGCTGGTCGATGCCGCTGCCGCCGTCGAACAGGGGGACTGCACCGACGTGGGTCTGGGTGAGGTTGGCCAGGTTCGCAACGTCGTCATCCGGGCCCATGTCGATCGCGCCGTAGACGATGCCGCCATCAATCCAGTTGAAGGTGTCATTGCCGGTGCTGAGCAGCACCTGGCCGCGCACGGTGCCATCAGTGATGGTCACGCTGTCGGCACCGCCGCTGACGCTGATGTTGCCGCCGATGTAGGCCGTGCCCGAAATGATGATGGTGTCGGTGTCGAAGCCGGTCACCACGTTGCCGTCCACGGTACCGCCGGACATGTCCCACAGGTTCTTGTCGAGCTTCATGTTGACCCGGCCGATGCGGCCACCGGTCATCCAGGCCCGGTCGCCATCTTCGAAGGCACCGATGATGCGGCCACCACTCATGCGGAAGGTGTCGATGTTGTCGCCCTGCTGCAGGGCGCCGACGGTGCCGCCGGTCATGACGAAATCGTCGCGGCCACTGCCCTGCGCGACCACGCCGGTGATGGTGCCGCCGGTCACCGTCATCTGGTCATCGCCGCTGCCCTGGTCGACACGGTCGAGGGTGCCGTCGTTGAGCAGCAGCACATCGTTGCCATCGCCCTGCAGGACACCGCCGGTGATGCTGCCGGCCTGCATCTCCAGGCGATCATTGCCGGCACCGAACTGCACGCCGGTTCCGCCACTGAGCGTTCCGCGGTTGACCAGCACGCTGTCACCATTGCCGACGAACTGCAGGGCGATGTTGTTGCCCGTGCTGATGCTGCCAAGGTTCTCGACGCGGCTGCCGCCGCCGAGCTGCACCGCCACGCCGCTGACCGAACTGATCGCGCCCTGGTTGGACAGCAGATGGCCCCCTGCGCCGACCAGCGAGATGGCGGAACCGCCACCGCTCTGCTGCAGTTGCGCGCTGCTGGCAACGTTGACGGTGATGCCGGCCGCGCCGCTGGCAGCGATGGGAACGGTCTGCGGGTTGGGTGCGCTGGCAGTGCAGGTGACCGTCTGGCCGGCAACGGGCGCAATGGCGTCACAGCCGGCCCAGGCGACGCTGGCGGACATCAGCATGACGGAGGGAACGGCCAGGGCCTGCAGCACGGAAACGGTGAGGCGGCGCGGACGAAACGCGCGCGGGACGGCACGGGACATACAGCACTCCTGGACAGGGGATCAGGAACTGCGGATATGCGGTACTGCGAGCGCAGTCTGCCTTGTCGTGAATGGTTTCGACAGGTGAATTTACGTGCCAGTGATCACACTTCAATTGCGAACTCGAGCGACTCTCACCTGGCCTCTACGTGACTGAAACCATTCATTTTTCTGAAGGCCACCAGTAGCGAGAAGAGCATCCACGCAGGGCGTGGATCTACTGAACCAGCACGCGCATCCCGGACGATCCACGCCATGCGTGGATGAGGCGGGTCAGATCTTCAGGTAGATCTTCCGCCGGTCCAACCACCAGGCCACGCCCCACCACAGCGCGACGAATGCCACCGCCTGCAGTATCGACGCCAGCTCCAGCGCCTGTGGCATCGCATCGGCCAGCTGCTGCCAGATCCAGCCCCAGGCGCCAGTAGCCATCAGCACCACGGACATGACCGACGCGCCAAGATAGGCGGTGATCGCATTGACCCCGAAGCGCCGCCCCAGCGCCGGCCAACCCTTGCGGTCGATCAGCACGTGGCCCAGCCACAGCGCCAGTGCGGCAAGGCCACCGGTCCACAGCACATAGCTGGGCGTCCACAGCTGTTTGTTCAACGGCAGCACGGTGGCCAGCAGCAACCCGAGCACAGCGGTTGCCACGCCCAGCCCGGCCAGGGCCGCCGAACGCCCGTTGCGCAGCAGGCCGCCGGCAAACAGGCCGAGCACGGTGCTGGCCAGGGCGCCCAGGGTACTCAGCAATCCTTCCGGGTCATGGCCAAGCCCGGTATCGGCATGCCACTGGTAGATCCACGGGGCGAACAGCGCGGTATCCAGGCGGCTGGCCGGATTGGTCCACGGCGCCAGATCGCCGATGCCCAGCAGCAGTACGGTGTACCCCACCAGCAGCGTGACCAGCACGGCCGCCTGCACGCGCGGCCGCGCATACACCGCCAGCACGCCCACCAGCGCCGCACATACCGCGATGCGTTGCAGCACGCCCCATATGCGGAAGTGATGCGTATGCAGCGCCCACCAGATCAACAGATGCAACAGCGCACCGGCCAGCAGGATGCGCAGCGCGCGTTCCAGCACGCCACGCGCCAACGCAGGGCGGACCGACGCGTCCAGCGCGCGCGGTGCCACGCTGAAGGCCATCGACACACCGACCAGGAACAGGAAGAACGGGAACACCAGATCGGTGGGCGTGCAGCCGTGCCATTCCGAATGACGCAGTGGTGCGAACACCGCGCTCCAGTCACCCGGATTGTTGACCAGCAGCATCGCCGCCACGGTGATGCCGCGCAGGGCATCGATCGAGCCCAGCCGGCGTGGCGGCGTAGCGTTCATCAGGCGGCCTCGTACTGTCCGGCGATCCAGGTGCCGCGCACCTGCAGGGCGTCATCCAACAGCACCAGGTCGGCCTGGTAGCCCTCTGCGATGTGGCCGAGGCGGTCATCGACATTGAGGAACTGCGCCGGGTAGGTCGAGGCCATGCGTGCGGCTTCGGCCAGCGGCTGGCCGAGCAGCTGCACCGTGTTGCGCACGGCGGTGGCCATGTCCAGCGCCGAACCGGCCAGTGCACCTGCGGCGTTGCGGACCACGCCGTCGATGGCCGTGATGGTTTCGCCGTACAGCACATAGCTCGGGTCATCGGCACCGACCGGCGGCATTGCATCGGTCACAAGCAGCAGGCGGCCACGCGGCTTGGCCGCCAGGGCCACGCGCAGGCTGGCCGGATGCACATGCACGCCATCGACGATGATGCCGATCCAGCTGTCGCGGTCTTCCAGCGCGGCGCCCACTGCGCCGGGTTCGCGGCCCTGCAATGGCGACATCGCGTTGTACAGATGGGTGAAGCCACGCACGCCGGCATCCAGGCCCGCACGGATCTCTTCGTAGGTGCCTGCGGTATGCCCAGCGGCGACGATCACGCCTCGCTCGACCAGCGCACGGATGGTCTCCAGCGGCACGCGTTCCGGCGCCAGCGTCAGCAGGGTCACGCCGTTGTCGAGCGACGCGGCCAGCGCGATCTCATCCTCGTCCGGCACGCGGAACTTGCTGGCATCGTGGGTGCCCTTGCGCGCAGGTGCGATGTAGGGGCCTTCCAGATGGATGCCGATCACGCCCGGCACGCCCTGTGCGATGGCCTCGCGCATCGCACCGATGGCCTCGCGCATCACGCCCACGTCGTCGCTGATCAGCGTCGGCAGCATCGCGGTGGTGCCGAAACGGCGGTGCGCCTGCGCGATGGTGCGCAGCGACGCAACGTCCGGCGTGTTGTTGAACAGCGCACCGCCGCCGCCGTTGACCTGCACGTCGATGAAGCCGGGCAGCAGCCAGCCGCCTCCCAGGTCCACCTGCTCGGCGGCCTGGCCGATCTGCGGCGCGGCATCGGGCAGCAGCGCACTGATGCGGCCGTCCTCGATCACCACCGCCAGATCGTCGCGGAATTCATCGCCTGCAAGGATGCGGGCGTTACGCAGGACCGTGGCCATCAGACCGTCTCCGTGACCTTGTTCAGGTGCGGCGGCAGATCCGGGTTGAAGCCACGGCGCAGCGCCAGCGCGTTGATCGCGCGGTAGAAGCTCTGCACGGTCAGCAGCGGCGCGCACAACGGATGCGGCGCGGCCGCGACCGGCAGGTTGCCGCCAGCACCGGCCAGCCATACCTGTGCACCGCGCGCGGTGAATTCATCGACCACTGCGCGGGTGCCGGCACCGGTCTCGTCCGGCTGTGCGAAGGCAAGCACCGGGAAGCCACGATCGACCAGCGCCATCGGGCCATGCTTGACCTCGGCCGAGCTGTAGGCCTCGGCATGCAGGCTGCAGGTTTCCTTGAACTTCAGCGCGGCTTCCTGCGCTGCGCCCAGGCCCAGGCCGCGGCCGAGCACGAACAGGTTGGTGGCCTCGACCAGGCCGTCGGTCACCGCGCTCCAGTCGCACTGCCAGGCCGCACGCATCGCATCCGGCAACAGGTCCAGTGCGGCACGCAGGTTGCTGTCCTGCTTCCAGTACGCGGCCAGCTGCAGCAGCGCAGCCAGCGAAGCCAGGTAGCTCTTGGTGGCCGCCACGCTCTTCTCGGCACCGGCATGCAGCGGAATGACCGTGTCGGCCAGCTGCGCCAGCGGTGAATCCTCGACGTTGACCAGCGCGATCACGCGCGCACCGGCCGCCTTGGCGGCTTCCGCATTGCGCAACAGGTCCGGGCTCTTGCCCGACTGCGAGATGACGATGAACAGTGCGCCACGCAGTTGCAGCGGTGCGGCGTACACCGAGCCCACCGACGGCGAGGCCGAGGCCACCACCAGGCCCAGCTGGGTTTCCAGCAGGTATTTGCCGTAGGTGGCGGCGTGGTCGGAGCTGCCACGCGCGCAGGTGACCACGAACGGCGGCGGCGCCGCGCGCAGGCTGGCGGCCAGGGTTTCCATGGTGGCGTGGTTGCGCGAGAACTGGCGGGCGACCACGTCGGCTGCTTCAGCGGCCTCGGCGAACATCAGGGTGGAAGTGGGGTCTGACAGCGACATGGCAGGCTCAGGCAGGATCGGAAGGAAGGGGGCGTGCGCCGGCCGGGCGCATCGGCGCCGTAGAACCGCGCACCCACCAGTTGTGGCACGAAGCCCTGGTTGTGCAGCGGTGCCGGCGCGTCGTCGTAGGCGTCGCTGCGCAGCTGCGCGATCAGCAGGCGTGCGGCGTGGCGGGCGATGTCCCTCGGTGGCCTGCTTGGCGGTGGTCAGCGGCGGCCACGACTGGCGCGAGAACGGGCTGTCCTCGAACCCGGCGATGGACAGGTCATAGGGCACGTTCATGCCGGCCGACTTGGCGGCGGCCAGCACGCCGGCGGCGATTTCATCGTTGGAGCCGAAGATGGCGGTGGGAGGCTCGCGCAGCGCCAGCAGGCGGCGCGCGCCGCGGAAACCGTCGTCGAAGGTGTAATCACCCTGCACCACCAGGTGCTTGTCCACGGTCATGCCGTAGTCCTTCAGCGCAGCCTCGTAACCGGCATAGCGCTCGCCGGAGGAGCGGTGCGAGATGCCGCCCCAGAGGAAGCCGATGCGCTGGTGGCCCAGCTGGATCAGGTGCTCGGTGATTTCGTAGGCGGCCTCGCGGTCGTCGACGAACACACAGGCGCCGTCGGCCGGGTCTTCGGTGGCGGCGATGATGCGCACCAGCTTGATGCCACGCGCGGTCAACGCCTGGATCAGGTCGCGGCGCTCGGACATCGGTGCGGTCAGCACCAGCCCGGCCAGGCGCGAACGCTGCTACCCAGTCGGCCAGTTCATCGGCCAGCAGCGGCGAGCTGGAATCGCAGGATGGATCTGCAGGCCGAAGCCGGTCTCGCGGCACGCGGCCAGCACGCCGTTCTGCACGCCGATGATGTGGTACGGGTTGGGGTTGTCGTAGACCAGCCGATCACGAAGGTGGTGCCGCTGCGCAGGTTGCGCGCGACGGGTCGGGCTCGTAGTCGAGCTCGGCGATGGCACGCAGCACCCGTGCACGGGTGGCCTGCATCACCGAGGGCTCGTTGTTGATCACCCGCGAGACCGTCTTCAGCGAGACCTTGGCCTTCTCCGCAACGTCCTTGATGGTCGCTCTGCGCATGGGTTTTCCCTGGGGTTGGCTGCCGTCCATCATCGCCGATTAGGCCTTGTCCTGCGGCAGGCCGGCGCGATGGCCGATCACCGAGTAGAACAGGATGTACAGGTAGCACGGCACCATCAGCAGCACGAACACCAGCTGGAAGTCGATGTGCTGCTTGAGCACGGCGAACAGCTGGGGAATGATCGCGCCGCCGGCGATGCCCATCACCAGCAGCGCCGAACCGGTTTCGGTGAAGCGGCCCAGGCCACGGATCGCCAGCGGGAAGATCGCCGGCCACATCATCGCGTTGGCAAAGCCCAGTGCGGCCACGAAGCCCACCGAGACGTAGCCGTGGGTGACCCAGGCGCCAAGGCAGAACACCACGCCCAGCACGGCGGAAATGGTCAGGTAGCGCGACTGCGAGACCACCTTCGGGATCAGCAGCAGGCCGACCACGTAGCCGATGAGCATGGCAAACAGGGTCAGCGAGGTGAACATCTTGGTCTGGTCCAGCGGCAGGTCGAAGCCGTGGCCGTAGGTACCGATCGCATCGCCGGCCATCACCTCCACGCCCACGTACACGAACAGACACAGCACGCCCAGCCACAGGTGCGGGAACTGGAAGATGCTGCGGCGCTCGGCGGCACCGGCGGTGGTGGGCGTGGCGTTGGCTTCGGCGGACTTGATTTCCGGCAGCGGCGAGAACAGCACGGCCACCGCCAGCAGCACCAGCAGACCGGCCATGGCCAGGTACGGCGCGTGGATCTTGGCGGCGAAATCGTTGAGCAGCTGCGCCTTGGTCGCTTCATCGGCAACGGCCACGCTGGCCGACAGGTCACCGATGCCGTGCAGCACCACGGTACCGATCAGTACCGGCGCCAGCATGCCGGCGATCTTGTTGCAGATGCCCATCAGCGCGATGCGCCGCGCCGCGGTCTCGATCGGGCCGAGGATGGAGATGTAGGGGTTGATCGCGGTCTGCAGCAGGGCCAGGCCGCTGCCGATCACGAACAGGCCGCCGAGCGCGCCCGGGTACCAGCGCTGGGTGGCGAATTCGCCGAACAGCGCGGCACCACCGGCCATCACCAGCAGGCTCAGGCTCAGGCCCTTCTTCATGCCGGTGCGGCGCAGGATCCACGACGACGGCAGGGCCAGGAAGAAGTAGGACAGGTAGAACACCATCAGCACCAGGAAGGCGCCGACCTCGCTGAGTTCGAAGGCGAGCTTGACGAAGGTGATCAGTGGCCCGTTGAGCCAGGTGAAGAAGCCGATCAGGAAGAACAGCACGCCGACGATGGCGATGGAGGTGGCCACGTTCGGGCGCGCGCTTGCAGCGGGGACGGCGGACATCAGGAGGGCTCCTGCGGCGACGGCCGCAGAACGCCGGCGTCGGAGAGTGGCTGGGAACAACGTTGTCACATTCTTTCGATGGACAACGGCGGTTTGTCAACTTCCCTGCACCGCCCCGCGAACCTCGTGCTGCACTGCGCAAGCCGATCCCGGCCGATCGGGCTGAATGCGCTGTAGCCCTTGAGCCCCATGCAGCAACGGTTCCCGTGTGAAACCCATGCTCACGCCATGTAAACGTTTACTGCATGTCGTATTCGTTGCGGCGCAGCAACGAAAGTGTCACGAACTCGTTGACAATCGTTGTCAGCGGGGTTACAGACTCCGCCCCAATCGCCGCCCCTGATCCCGGGGTCGGCCCCACCTGCAGCAGGAGCCCGCGTGACCGCCAGCCACCCCGCCCCGGCCCATGTCCTGTCCCGAGTCGCGCCCTCGTTCCTGGCCGCCGACGTCGGTGGCACCCATGTGCGCGTGGCCCGGGTCCAGGCCAGTGGTGATACCGCCCACCCGGTGCAGGTGCTGGAATACCGCAAGTACCGCAATGCCGACCATGCCGGCCTCAGCGCGATCCTGTCCGACTTCCTCGGCGAAGGCCCGCGGCCCACGCATTGCGTGGTTGCCAGCGCCGGCTATGCCCGCGAGGACGGCACGGTGATCACCGCCAACCTGCCGTGGCCGCTGTCGGCGCGCCAGGTGGAAGCCGACGTCGGCCTGCAGCGGGTCTACATCGTCAACGACTTTGAAGCGGTGGCCTACGCCGCCGCGCAGGTGGACGCCAGCGGCGTGCTGCACCTGTGCGGACCAGAGACCGCTGCGCGCGGCCCGACCCTGGTGGTCGGCCCGGGCACCGGCCTCGGCGCCGCGCTGTGGATTCCCACCGCGCACGGCCCGGTGGTGCTGCCGACGGAAGCCGGCCAGCCGACCCTGGCCGCCAGCACCGAACTGGAAATGGCCATCGTCCGCCACATGCAGCGCGACCGCGCGCACGTGTCGATCGAGCATGCGATTTCCGGCCCGGGCCTGATCAACCTGTACCGCGCGGTATGTGCGCTGCAGGGGCAGGCACCGACCCTGACCAGCCCGGATGCGGTCACCGCCGCCGCCATGGCCGATACCGATGCGCACGCACGCCAGGCGCTGGATGTGTTCTGCGGCCTGCTCGGCAGCACCATCGGTGACATGGCGCTGTTCTACGGCGCCCATGGTGGCGTCTACCTGGCCGGCGGCATCCTGCCGCAGATCCGCGAATACCTGCACGCCAGCACCTTCGTCGAACGCTACCTGCAGAAGGGGCCGATGGGCGAAGCACTGGCACGCATCCCGGTGAAGGTCGTCGAGCACGGCCAGCTGGGCGTGGTCGGCGCTGCCAGCTGGTACCTGCAGCAGTCGGCCGCCTGACACCGCAACAGGCTTCAACGCAATCGCAGCACGCAGTACGTGGCACGCCAACGCACGGGACTTCGCCGCCACCCCGCGCATGTCTTCGCAACCGTAATCGAACACCGCCGCCGGCATCCAATCGAGTGATGAGGAGAGACATCATGAACACCCGCAAGACCCTGCTTTCGGCCGCCATCGTCAGCTGCATCGCCTTCAGTGCGCACGCGCAGCAGGCCGCCCAGACCGCCACCGACCTGGACACCGTGACGGTCACCGGTATCCGTGGTTCGATGGAAAAGTCGCTGGACACCAAGCGCGAAGCCAATGCGCGCGTGGAAGTGGTCACCGCCGAAGACGTCGGCAAGCTGCCGGCGCACAACGTCGCCGATACCCTGCAGCGCCTGCCCGGCGTCAACATCAGCTCGTCCAGCGCCGACGAAGGCGGCTTCGACGAAGCCGACCGTGTCAGCCTGCGCGGCACCAGCCCGAGCCTGACCCAGACCCTGATCAACGGCCATACCGTCGGCTCGGCCGACTGGTTCGTGCTCAGCCAGGGCAACAACGTCGGCCGCAGCGTCAGCTACTCGCTGCTGCCGTCGGAGCTGGTCAGCTCGGTGGAAGTGAACAAGTCCTCGCAGGCCAAGCTGCAGGACGGCGGCACCACCGGTACCGTCAACATCATCACCCGCAAGCCGCTGGAATTTTCCAAGCAGTTCACCGCTGAAGGCTCGATCGGCATGGTGCGCTCGGACCAGGCCAAGTCGAACGACCCGCAGTATTCGGCACTGTTCAACTACAAGAACGACGAAGGCACCTTCGGCGTGATGGTGCAGGGCTTCAGCCAGAAGCGTGAGCTGCGCCGTGAAGCGCAGGAAATCCCGGGCGGCTTCTTCAAGATCGGCGCCGGTGATCCGGTGGCCAAGACCAACCCCGACCTGATCGGCGTCAATGTACCGGGCCTGCTGGGTTCGACCCTGTTCGAACAGACCCGTGAGCGCAAGGGTGGCCTGGTCTCGCTGCAGTTCAAGCCGAGCGACAACCTCACCCTGGGCCTGAACGGTTTCAGCTCCGAACTGAAGGCGAACAACTACAACCGCAACTTCATGATGTTCGGCAACAGCTTCGCCAAGTCGCAGGCGCCGGATCCGGGCTATGTGATCAAGGATGGCGTGCTGACCAACGCCACCTACAAGGGCGTGCCGGGCACCGACTACGCGGTGTACGACATGATCTACCGCGAGTCGAAGGCCAAGTCGAGCTATGTCACCTTCGATGCCGACTGGCAGATCAACGACAACCTGACCGCCAAGTTCCAGGCCGGCAGCACCAAGGGCACCGGCGAAACGCCGCGCCAGTACATCGCCGAGGTCACCCTGGCCAACGGTGGCGGCGCCAGCTGGGCCACGCACGGCAATGGCTCGCCGATCGACTGGAATGTCGGCGGCGATATCTCGCCCAACGGCGTGACCAGCTTCGGCACCTGGGGCAACCAGCAGGTCACGGCTGAAGACAAGGAGAAGTGGGCCACGCTCGACTTCAACCAGTACTTCAATGATGGCGGCGTGCTGAGCTCGATCGACTTCGGCCTGCGTTTCGCCGACCACAAGCGCGAAGCGCTGTCGCCGGAAGGTGCAACCCCGGGTGACATCTGGAGCGCGCTGAAGAACGGTGCCACGGCCAACTATCCGAGTGGCTTTGCCGGTGACATCGGCGGCACCTTCCCGCGCAACCTCTGGTACTTCACCCCGGGTGCGCTGAAGGACGCGGTGACCAACAACTCCACCTGGCTGGCCGGCAATGATGGCCCGACCGGTCGCCATAACTACGGCGCCGAGTGGAAGGTGAAGGAAAAGAACTTCGCCGGCTACGTGCAGGCCAACTTCCGCGGCGACTGGTGGAGCGGCAACGTCGGCCTGCGCTACGTCAACATCAAGCAGGACATTGACACCTACAACGCCGTCAGCAAGGCCGCCGACGCCGATGTCAGCAGCCTGTTCGGCATGTGGGAGCGCCTGGCCTTCCAGAACAAGCGCAACCGTGTGCTGCCCAGCGCCAACATCAAGTTCGACCTGGACGACAAGCTGGTGCTGCGCGTCGCCGCTTCGCAGACGCAGACCCTGCCGGACTACTCGGCGCTGGGTGCCTCCTCGTACGGTTCGGACCTGAACCGGACCGGCGGCGGTGGCAACCCGAACCTCAAGCCGACCCTGTCGACCAACCTGGATGCCAACCTGGAGTGGTACTTCATGCCGCGCGGCATGCTGTCGGTGGGCGCTTATCACATGGACCTGAAGGACTACATCGCCTTCGACGTGGTCTCGCGCCAGCTGTACAGCGAACTGACCAACCGGCTTGAGACCTACCAGATCTCCACCCCGATCAATGCCGACGGCAAGGTCACCGGCGTGGAAGTGGCCTACGAACAGCCGATCGGCGAGTACTTCGGCATCAATGCCAACTACACCTACGCCAATGGCACCACCTCGCACACCTGGTCGGATGGCTCGCACAACCTGCTGGGCACCTCGAAGAACACCTACAACGTGGGTGCCTACTTCGAGAACGAGCGCTTCGGCGCCCGGGTCAGCTACACCCGACGTTCTTCGTTCCTGATCAGCCTGTCGGGCACCAACCCGTACTACCAGGATGACTTCGGCACGCTGTCGGCATCGGTGAGCTACAAGGCCACCGACTGGCTGAGCATCAGCCTGGATGGCCTGAACCTCAACAACCCGACCTACAAGTACTACCAGACCGCGGCCATCCCGACCTCGTTCTACAGCAACGGTCGCCAGTACTACCTCAACTTCCGCTTCAAGTACTGATCCAGCGGCGGCAACATCGCCGAGTCGTGCACGCACGCCGGGCCTGGGTCATTCCGGGCCCGGCGTTTTTCATGTATAGCGTTCATCGCACCGTTCCAAGGAGTCGTACCGATGGTCAAGCCTTCCCGCGCCCGGATGCGCAGCGCAGTGCTGCTGGGCAGCCTGCTCGCCCTGCTGCCGGCGATGCCGGCACTCGCCGCCGATCCCACGCCCGCCGCAGAAGCGCCCGGCCCGCAGCTGCGCGCCGGCAGCCTGATGCTGATTCCCGCGCCGTCCAACGTGCAGCGTGGCCAGGGCAGCGGCATCACTGTCCGTGCCGATACCGTACTGCACGCCGAAGGCGAAGCCGCGCAGCGGGTCGCCTCGCAGTTCGCCGACCTGCTGGCCCGCAGTGGTGGCCCGCGCCTGGCCCTGGCCAAGGGCAAGGCAGCAGGCAAGGCCGGTAGCATCCGTTTCCAGATCGTGCCCACCTTCCGCGACAGCGGCGAAAGCTACACGCTGGACAGCACCGCGCAGGGCGTGGTGATCCAGGCCGGCAACGAGACCGGCCTGTTCTATGGCGCAACCACCCTCGCCCAGCTCGCCACCGGCGGCAGCAACGGCGTGCTGCCAGCGGTGCAGATCCAGGATGCGCCGCGCTTCAGCTGGCGCGGCTTCATGCTCGACTCGGCGCGGCATTTCCAGAGCCTGGACGAGATCAAACGCGTGCTCGACGCGATGGCCGCGCACAAGCTCAACACCTTCCACTGGCACCTGACCGACGACCAGGGCTGGCGCATGGAGATCAAGCGCTACCCGAAGCTGACCGAAGTGGGCAGCTGCCGCCTGCCCGCCGGTGACGGCGGCATCGACCCGGTCAGTGGCCAGGAGCATCCATACTGCGGCTTCTACACGCAGGAGCAGATCCGCGAAGTGATCGCCTATGCAGCCGCGCTGCATATCCAAGTCATTCCGGAAATCGACGTGCCCGGCCATGCCACCGCGGCGATTGCCGCCTACCCGGAGCTGGGCTCGATCAGTACCCCGCTGAAGCCGATCAGCGAGTGGGGCGTGTTCCCGAACCTGTTCAACGTGGAAGACAGCACCGTCACCTTCCTCGAGAACGTGCTGGAAGAAGTGATCCAGCTGTTCCCCGCCAAATACGTGCACGTGGGTGGCGACGAGGCGGTGAAGGACCAGTGGATCGCATCGAAGCAGGTGCAGCAGCGCATGCGTGCGCTGGGCATCAAGGATGAGATGGCCATGCAGAGCCACATCATCAAGCGCCTGGAGACCTTCCTGGAGGAACACGACCGCCGGCTGATCGGCTGGGACGAGATCCTCGAAGGCGGCCTGCCGCCGCAGGCCACGGTGATGTCGTGGCAGGGCACCGAAGGCGGCCTGGCCGCGGCCAGTGCCGGCCATGACGTGATCATGTCGCCGGTCGGCTACCTGTACCTGGATTACCTGCAGACCGCCTCGCCGAATGAACCGCCGGGCCGCCCGGCCCAGGTCAACCTTGGCAAGCTGTACAACTTCGAGCCGGTGCCGGCCGAACTGGCTGCCGACAAGCGCGGGCACATCCTGGGCCTGCAGGCCAACATGTTCACCGAGCACACGCGCAGCTATGCACGCCTGCAGCACAACCTGTTCCCGCGCCTGGCCGCTGTGGCCGAGACCGGCTGGAGCACGCCGGAACACCGCGATTTCCGCGACTTCCTCGCGCGCCTGCCGGCGCAGCTGCAGCGCTACCGCGCCTGGGGCCTGGCCTATGCGCAGACGCCGTTCGAAGTGGGTGTGGATTACACCGACAACCGCACCGCCAACACCGTGACCGTATCGCTGGCCAACCCGCTGGGCTATGAGGTGCGCTACAGCATCGATGGCCAGCCGGTCAGCGCGCAGTCGCCGCTGTACCAGCAGCCGCTGACCGCGACGCTGCCGGCCACGGTGCAGGCCGCCGCGTTCTATCAGGGCCAGATGCTGGCCGCAAAGCCGACCGTCGCCGCGTTCACCGCGCAGTCGCTGCTCAGCCGCCGCAGCGATGAGCTGCTCAGTTGTGTGGGCAAGAAGGGCCTGGTGCTGCGACTGGAGGACGATGGCCCGCGCGAAGGCACCCGTGCGGTGTTCAACGTCGACATCTTCCAGCCGTGCTGGCGCTGGCCACAGGCGCAGCTGGACGGCGTCGGCAGCGTGGAAGTGCGTGCGGGCCGTATTCCGTACTACTTCCAGCTGGCCCATGACGAACCCAAGCGTCGCTTCGAGAAAGCCAAGCGTGCGCATGGCGAGATGCAGGTGCGCCGTGGCGACTGCAGCGGCAAGGTGCTGGCCGAAGTTGCGTTGCCGGCCCAGCCGGATGCCGATGGCTTCGTGACCCTGCGTGCAACGCTGCCGAAGGGTAGCCAGGGTAACGGCGACCTGTGCATCAACTTCACCGGCGATACGCGCCCGGCGATGTGGGTGCTGGATGAGGTGACGCTGGGGAAATGAGGGCAGGTCTGTCCTGGTGGGTGCCAACCTTGGTTGGCACGCCTTTACCCGCGCCAGCGCAGCAGTAGATCGCGCAGCGGGGTCAATACGGTAGCCATGCCGGCCAGCACGCCGATCGTGTTGGCCAGCGCATCCATCGGATCAGCCGTGCGGTTGCTGGTCAGCGCGCCCTGCGCGAACTCAATGCCGATGCCCATCAGCACCAGTCCCACGCCCACCCACAGCAGCGGGCGGCCGCGCCGGAACAGCTGCACTGCGCTTCCGGCCAGGATGAAATAGGCCAGGAAGTGCTCGCCCTTGTCGCTGTTTTCCGGCAACGGAATCGGCGGCGGCGGGATCAGGCACACCACGATCACCAGCAGTACCGCCAGCGCCCACAGCACGGTCCACAGCCGCGGCCTGCGCAGCGGCTTGATCAGCGGCCGAGCATCACTCACAGCCGCCAGCTCAGGTCACCCAATTCGAAGGCCGGCTCGAAATCGACGCCACGCTGCAGGCCGATTGCCTGGAAGCGCTCGCCCATTTCGGTCGGCAGGGTCAGCTTCTTCACCTGGTCGCGCAGCTGGATGCGGCCGACTTCATCGGTGCGCTCCTCGGCCAGCAGCAATACCTGGTCCAGCCCGTTGCCAAGCAGGAAACTGGCCTGGCTGCAGTAGCCGGCCAGCTCGAAACCACCGTGCAGGCCCGCTTCGGCCATCGCGGTGAAGTCCACCGAGGCGGTGATGTCCTGCAGGCCCGGCCAGCGATGCACGTCGTTGTGCACGTGGTGGCGGTAGAACGCACGCACAGTGCCATCGTCGCGGTCATGCTGGTAGAACTCGCCGCGGTTGTAGCCATAGTCGACGAACAACATCGCACCGCGCTGCAGGCCACCGGCCACTGCCTGCAACCAGTACGGCAGCTGCGGCAGCACTTCGGAACGGTAGCCCTCGGCGAAGGGCTTCTCCAGATAGCGCTCGATATGGCGCACCGCGCCGTTGAGCAGGATGTCGGCCGGCTGCGCGCCGCGGATGAAGCGACCTTCGGCGTCCAGCTCGACGGTTTCCTCATAGACCTCGCCGTCGCGGATCAGGAAGCGCGGCGTCGGCAGCGCGTCGATCACCTCGTTGGCGAACACCACGCCCTCCCAGTCCTCTTCGAACGGGCGGTCGATCCAGTCCACGCGCGCGACCAGCTCGGCCGGCAGATTCTGCTGCAGGCGCTGCTGCTGGCGCTCGCGCAGGTCGGCGCTGGGTTCGAGGATGGCGTAGCGCGAGGGCAGCGCGTCCAGCTCCGCCAGGCGCAGCAGCACGGCCTCGGCGAAGGCACCGGTACCGCCGCCCAGCTCCAGCATCCGCGCCTGCGCACCCAGCTGGGCGAATACCGGCGCCAGGGCATTGGCCACGCTGCCGGCGAACAGGCTGCCGAGCTCGGGCGCGGTGGTGAAGTCGCCGCTGCCACCGAACTTGCTGGCGCCGGCGCTGTAATAGCCCCAGCCCGGGGTGTACAGGCACAGCTCCATGAAGCGGGAGAACGGCATTGCCCCGCCCTGCGCAAGGATCTCGGCGCGCAGGGCGGCGGCCAGCTGGTCGCTGTGGGCCAGGGCATCGGCTTCGGGCAGGGGGAAGGTGGGCTGCATGGCGTCTTCGAATGCGGTGACAATGGTGCACAGGATAGCCGAGCCTTGGAGGACCCTCGATGAGCGATACCCACCCCGTGGTCCTGATCACCGGCAGCGCGCGCCGGATCGGTGCGGCCATCGCCCGCCAGTTCCACGCCTGTGGCTGGTCGGTGGTGCTGCACGCCAACACCTCCAGCGCCGAACTGCAGCAGGCCGCGTTCGATTTCGACAACGTACGCCCGGGCAGCGTGCTGGCCCTGCAGGCCGACCTGCGCGACGCCGACGCCCTGCCCGACCTGGTGGAACAGGCCGTCACCCACTTCGGCCGCCTGGACGCGCTGGTCAACAACGCCTCCAACTTCTTCCCCACCCCGCTCGGCCAGGTCACTGCCGAGGCGATGGACGAGCTGTATGCGGTCAACGCGCGCGCGCCACTGCTGCTGTCACAGGCAGCCGCGCCCTACCTGCGCCGCCAGCAGGGCTGCATCGTCAACCTGACCGACCTGCACGGCACCGATCCGATGCGTGACCACATCGCCTACACCATGGCCAAGGCCGCGCTGGAAATGGCCACCCGTTCGCTGGCGCTGGAGCTGGCGCCGAAGGTGCGGGTCAATGCGGTGGCGCCCGGCGCGATCCTGTGGCCGGAACAGGGTAAGGATGATTTCGCCCGCGAGGCGCTGCTGGCGCGCACGCCGCTGGCACGGATCGGCACGGTCGAGGAGATCGCCGAGGCGGTGTACTGGCTGGTGGCCGAGGCCAGCTTCGTCACCGGCCATACCCTGCGCGTGGACGGTGGGCGTACGGTCAGCTGAAATGTTGCCGGCCAGCGGCCGGCATTACCGGTAGTGCCGGCCGCTGGCCGGCAACCGCCGTCATCCGAGGTCAACCACCTCGAACGCCTCGCCGAACTGCGGGTGCGCGCGCCACAGCGCAGCCAGGTCCTGCCCGCTGACCGGATCGATGAAATCCGGCGCGATGTCGGCCAGCGGCTTCAGCACGAAGGCATGCTTCAGTTCCGGGCGCGGAATGCGCAGGTGGCCGGGGCCTTCCACCACCAGGTCGCCGTAGAACACCACGTCGATGTCCAGGGTCCGGTCGGAAAAGCGCGGCCCGCTGCGATCACGGCCATGCGCGTCTTCCAGCGCATGCAGCCAGTCATCCAGCGCCTGCAGCGGCAGGCCGGTCTCGATCGCCACTGCGTTGTTGAGGAAGGCCGGGCCATCGAAGCCAACCGCGGCGGTACGGTAGGCGGGCGACACCTGCAGCGCGCCGAAGCGCTCGCGCAGGGCCGTCACCGCGGCGTGGAGGTAGCGGCGGGGCTGGACGTTGCTGCCCAGGCTCAGGAGCACGGTGGTCATGCGGTTCAGGTGATGGCACTTGGGGGGCGTGGACATGCCGTCGTCACGGCGGCCTGCCTACAATCCGGGACGCACATGATAGGGCACCGACATGACCTATTGCGTTGGAATCGAGGTCGACGAGGGCCTGGTCTTCGCCGCCGATACCCGGACCAATGCCTCGCTGGACGATGTGCGCGTGCATCGCAAGCTGCACGTGTTCGAGTATCCCGGCCAGGCAGCCTACGTGCTGATGGCGGCGGGCAACCTGGCCACCACCCAGCTGCTGGTGTCACGGCTGGGGCGCGATGCCGGCGAACGGCGCACGCCCAACCTGCGCGACATGGCCCATCTTTTCGAGGCCGCCGAGTACGTCGGCCAGCTGCTGGTCGACAGCCAGGTGCACAGCAGCCACAGCGAGCACGGCCATGACGGGGTCAACACCCAGGCCACGCTGATCTTCGGCGGCCAGATCGCCGGCGAGCGGCCGGGGCTGTACATGATCTATCCGCTGGGCAATGCCATTGCCGCCTCGCCGGAGACGCCCTACCTGCAGATCGGCGAATCCAAATACGGCAAGCCGATCCTCGACCGCATCCTCAGCCCGGCCACCCGGCTGGAAGACGCGGCGCGCACGGCGATCGTCTCGCTCGATTCGACCATCCGCTCCAACCTGTCGGTGGGCCTGCCGATCGACCTGGCACTGCTGCGCGATGGCGAGCTGCGCATCGGCCAGCAGCTGCGGCTGGGCGCGGATTCGGCGCTGTATGCCGACATCCACCAGAACTGGTCGCGGCGGCTGGAACAGGCGGTGGACAGCCTGCCGCGGTTCCCGTGGGAAACCACCGAACGGTAGTGCCGGCCGCTGGCCGGCAACCGCAGTGATCCCGCCGCACGCCGATGCCGGCCAGCGGCCGACACTACCCAGGCATCAGCCCAGCGCTTCGGCCACCGCGCGGAACACCTGCTGCATCTGCAGCGGCTTGCGCAGCACATGCACCTCCACGCCGGCCGGGAACGCATCGGGCGTCACCGCTGCCGTCGTGTCTTCCAGCACCAGTGCCGGGCCGCGGTAACCCAGCGCGGCCATCTCGCCCAGCAGCTGGCTGGCCGGCAGCAGCTTGGAACCGGCATCGGCGATCACCAGTGCCGGCATCGCCTCCTGCTGCATCCAGCGCAGCGCGGCCGGGCCGTCGGAGGCCAGCTGCAGCTGGTAGCCCTGGCTGGACAGCGCATTGCCGAGCAGCGAAAGGCGCGTCGCCTCGCCATCGACCACCAGGATCGACTGCCCGCTGCCCAGCGCCACCAGCTGCTCGATCGGCTCGCTGCCGTCGCTGGCCTCATGCATCGGCAGACGCAGTTCGAAACAGGTGCCCTGCCCCGGCTGGCTGCTGACATGGATGCTGCCCCCGGCGCCTTCGACGATGCGCTTGCAGGACATCAGCCCCAGGCCGGTGCCGTCAGCCTTGGTGGTGAAGAACGGGTTGAACAGGTGCGACAACGTGTCCGCATCCATGCCGATGCCTTCGTCGGCCACCCGGATGTGCATCCAGTCCACGCCATCGCGCTGGCCGGCATGGCTGGCAATCAGGCTCAGGCGGCCGCCATTGGGCATGGCCTGGATCGCGTTCAACGCTAGGTTCAACATCACCTGCTGCAGCTCGGTGTAGTTGGCGTCGACCACCAGGCCCTGGTCCTGCACCTGCAGTTCCAGCCGTACGGCGTCGGGTACGTTGCTGCGCAACAGCAGCGCCACCGCATCGAACAGGCCGTCGATCTCGATGCGTTCGCTTGGCTTGCGCGAGCCGCGCACGAACGACAGCATCGACTCGGCCATCTCATGGCCGCGCCGGCCGCACTCGGCGATGACATCGGCCAGGTGGTGCAGCTGCGGATCTTCGGTGCGCGCCTTCAGCAGGTCCGGCATGATCAGCAGCGGCTGCAGGATGTTGCGCAGGTCGTGGCTGAGACCAGCGGCAAGCAGCGACAGGCTTTCCAGCCGCTGCGCGCGCATCAGCTCGGTTTCCACGCGTGCGCGTTCGACCGCACTGCGCGCATCGCGGATCGAACGCGCCACCGCCGACGGCAGGCGCGCCGGCTGGTGCTTGATGATGTAGTCGTTGGCGCCCTTCTGCAGCGCTGCTACCGCGTTCTCTTCACCCATGGTGCCGGAGACGAAGATGAAGGGCACTTCCGGCGAGGTCTCGCGCACGATGCGCAACGCATCGTCACCGGAGAAGCCCGGCATGCTCAGGTCGGACAGCACGATGTCCGGCTGGAACGCGGCCAGCGCCTGGCGCAGTTCGGCCTCGCTCTCGACGCGCTCGAAGCGGGCGTCCAGCCCCGCATCGAGCATCTGTTCGGACATCAGCTCGGCATCTTCCGGTGAATCCTCCACCAGCAGGATGCGCAGCGCCCCCAGGGCGGGACCGGTCAGGGGCATGGGCTCACTCGAGTTCCGGTGCCTGGTTGATCAACGCCCAGAACTTGCCCAGCGTCTGCACGGCGCCGAAGAACTGGTCCACATCCACCGGCTTGACCACATAGGCGTTCACGCCCATGTCCCAGCTGCGGGCCAGGTCGCTCTCCTCGCGCGAGGACGACAGGATCACCACCGGCAGGCGCTTGAGTTCTTCGTGCTCACGGATCTGCCGCAGTACTTCCAGGCCATCCATGCGCGGCATCTTGATGTCCAGCAGCAGCACCGCCGGCAGGCCTTCCTCGCGGTTGGCGAACGCGCCGCGACGCAGCAGGTAGTCCATCACTTCCACGCCATCCTCGACGTGCACGATGGGGTTGGCCAGACGCGCCTCCTCCAGGGCGTCGATCGCCATCTCGGCGTCGGCCGGGCTGTCTTCGGCGAGAAGAATGGTGCGCAGAGTCGTCATGCAGAAGGACCTTGTTTGTCCGCGTCGATCGCGGGAGGCAGGTAGAAGTGGAAGGTGGCGCCGACGTCCGGTTCGGCCTCGGCCCAGATCCGGCCGCCATGGCGGGTCAGCACGCGGCGCACGCTGGCCAGGCCGATGCCGGTTCCAGGGTAGTCACTGGCCTTGTGCAGGCGCTGGAACACGCCGAACAGCTTGCCGGCATAGGCCATGTCAAAGCCTGCACCATTGTCGCTGACCGTGAACTGATGGCCGCCATCGGGCTGCTGCTGGCAGTCCACACGGATCCTTGCCGGCTCGCGGTTGCCTGAATACTTCACCGCGTTGCCGAGCAGGTTCAGCCAGACCTGGCGGATCATGTTCTCGTCGCCCACCACGATCGGCAGCGGCGCAATGCTCCACTCCACCTGGTGCGCGTGGCCGCTGTTTTCGGCCTCGGCCTGCAGGTTGGAATCGAGCATGGCGCGGGTATCGGCCACCAGCGACTGCATGTCCACCGCCTGCTGGCGCATCGCCACGCGGCCCAGCCGCGAGTAGACCAGCAGGTCGTCGATCAGCGCCGCCATGCGCCGTGCCGAGCTGGAGATCACCCCCAGGTAGTGGCGGCTCTTGTCATCGGCCTGCTCACCCAGATGGCGTGACAGCTTGTCCGAGAATCCGGCGACATGGCGCAGCGGCGCGCGCAGGTCGTGCGAGACCGAATAGCTGAAGGCCTCCAGTTCGCGGTTGACCTCGGACACCTGCGCGACCTTGCCTTCCAGCTGCCGGTTCAGCTCTTCCACGCGCAGCTGCACGGCACGCTGCACCGTTACGTCGCTGACGGTCATCAATACCACTTCGTCATCGGTATCCGGCAGCGGCATGCGCCGTGCGTTGAGCAGCATGTAGCGCACCATGCCGTCGGCGGCGCGCTGCTCGTGCTCGAAGTCCCACAGTTCGCGGCCGCGCAGCAGCACGTCGGACAGACGCTGGCGCATCACCGGGTCCTGCCAGGCGCCGTCACCGACGGTTTCCAGCAGCAGGCCGTCGGCACGCTCGTCCTCCAGTCCGTACAGTTCGGCAAACGCCGGATTGTGCAGCTGCACGCGCAGTTCACGATCAAGCAGAACAATGGGCTCGCGCACAGTCTGCAGCACCGATGCCGCACGCGCAGCCGAACGCAGCGACTGCCGCTCGGCGTGCAGGCGGCGGCCAATCTGGCGATGCAGCAGCCACAGCACCAGGCCCAGCAGGGCCAGCTGCACCACCAGCGAGCTCCAGGACACAAACTCGGTCTGCCGGCGCTGGCGCGCCGCCTGTTCTGCACGCAGTGCCAGCAGTTCCTGCTCGCTGGCCTGCAATTCCTCGACCAGGCCGCGGATGGGATAGCGCGTGCTCAGATCCTGCACCAGCCCGCGCTGATCGCTGTTGGGTTCGGACCTGGCCAGCTCGCGGGCCAGCGCCATGCGGCCCTCCAGCATCGATTCGATACGACCGATGCGGATCAGCTGGTCGGGATTGTCGCGGGTCATCCGGCCCAGCTCGGCCAGGCGCCCCGGAATCTCGTTGGCGCGCGCCATGCGCTCGCGCAGGCCGGGCGCATCCACGCCCTTGGACAAGGTCAACGCGGCCGATTCGACGTCACGCACGTCCGCCTGCAACTGCTGCAGGGCATTGCCTACGGCCTGGGTATGGTTGACCCAGGCCATCGCCTGTTCGCTGTCCTGCTGCAGTTTGCGCAGGGTCAACCATGGCACCACGATGATCGCGACGGCCGCCAGCGCCAAGGCCGGCAACCGCCAGCGGTCCCAGATGTCGTCACTGAAAACCAGCGCCATAGTTCCTCGTCAGCACGGCCGCGGAGCACCTGCCGGAACCAGCCCGGCTGCGGCGGAACCGGCAATATAGCGCAGGCGGTCACAACTCTGGGATTCAGGGCGCGGCTGGCTGAACGGGTAGGGGGCGTCCCCTTCTTGGTGGAGCCGAGCAGGGCCCGGCTCCAAAGAAACCGCTGGGCGCCCCAGCTGGGGCGCCCACCAGGTTCAGCGCTTGGCAGCGGCGCTGACCTTGAGTGCTGCGGCATCGACGCGGGTCACGCCCTTGATGCCCTTGGCAGTGGTGACCGCCTTGTCCTTCTCGGCCTGGGTCGCCACGGCGCCGCTGAGGCTGACCACGCCGTTCACGGTTTCCACCTTGATTTCAGTGCCCGGAACGTTGCTGCTGGCCAGCAGGTCGGCCTTCACCTTGGTGGTGATCCAGGTATCGGTCACTGGCTCGTTGGAGTCATGGCGATCGGCATGGGTTGCCGGATGGGTGCTGGTCGGCGGGCTCTTCGCGGCCGGGTCCTTGGCGAAGGCGGCCGAGGAGGACAGCGCCAGGCCCAGGGTCAGGGCAGAAGCAATCAGCGTGCGGGTGGTATTGCTCATCGTGTCGTACTCCTTCGGGATGTGCTGCCAGTCTGGACACGCCGCCGTGGAGCAGCGGCGTGGCGTTGCAGTCATGCCGCTGTGAATCGAAGCGTTTCCAACGGCAACGGTTCAGTTTTGGACGCTGATCGCCGGTCGTTTACCCTGCCCTTTCCCTCTGCCGGAGCTGTGCGATGCGCCCCGACCTGCAACTGGCCCTGATCGGCTACGGCCTCGCCGGCCGGGTCTTCCATGCGCCGCTGATCCAGCACACGCCCGGGCTGGTGCTGCACAGTGTGGTGTCAGTTCGCAGCGCGACACGCTCCTGCGCACGTTCAGCAACGTGCACGTGCGGGCCACTGCACAGCAGGTCTTCGACGATCCGGCGGTGGATGCGGTGGTGATCGCCACAACCCAATGACCAGCACGCGCCGTTGGCGATCGCCGCGTTGGCAGCAGGCAAGCATGTGCTGGTCGACAAGCCGTTCGCCGCTCGACGTCACCGAAGCCGAATCAATACTGGCCGCGGCGAACGATGCACGGGCGCATCGCGACCGTGTTCCAGAACCGGCGCTTCGATGCCGACTTCCTCACCCTGCAGGCGCTGTTGGCGGAGGGTGCGCTTGGTGACGTGGCCGAGATGCCATGCGCATTTCGATCGCTACCGGCCGCAGGTGCGCGAGCGCTGGCGCGAACAGGATGGCCCGGGAAGCGGCGTGTGGTACGACCTGGGCCCGCACCTGCTGGACCAGATGCTGGTGCTGTTCGGCTGGCCCGAGGCCATCGACGCCGATCTGGCGGTGCAGCGCGAAGGGCGGCAGCGGGCATCGATTACTTCCACGCAGTGCTGCACTACCCACGGCATCGCGCGATCGTGCATGCCGGTTCGCTGGTGGCGGCGCCCACACCGCGCTTCACCGTGCATGGCAGCACGGGCAGCTGGATCAAGCACGGCCTGGATGTGCAGGAAGCGCAGCTGCGCCGTGGTGTTGCACCGGGTGCTCCGGGCTGGGGCATCGATCCGCGGCATGGCGAGCTGCTGCGCTGCGATGCCGAGGACAACGTGCAGCGCGGCACCGTCGACAACCTGCCCGGCGATTACCGGCGGCTGTATGCGCAGTTCGCGGCGGCGATGCACGGTGATGGGCGAAGCGACGGTCAGTGCGGCGCAGGCGCTGCAGCTGACGCGGTTGCTGCAGGCGGGGATGGACAGTGCGCGCGAAGGGCGGCGAATCGCGTTGGGGTGATCGGCAGGGCTGCGCCCTGCACCTGCCGAATCAACGGCAACGTCAACGTCAAAAGCAAGCTATCCGTGGGATGGCGGGGTGGATCCGGTTGCGGGGGACGCCGTAAACCCATCCCTGGAGCTTCGACAGTTTTCCGCGCCCGACGGTAGGTGTCGACCTTGGTAGACACGGATCCACGCCATGCGTGGATCGCGTGGTCATGCGTTTTCTCTGTTACGACTTCTTGATGGGCGTGGCCGCCGAATTCGTTGCGCATCGCCGACAGCAGACGGTCGGTGAACGAATTGGATTCGCGTGAACGCAGGCGTTCCAGCAGCGACAGCGTGATTACCGGGGCCGGCACGTCCAAGGCAATCGCTTCGGCCACGGTCCAGCGGCCTTCACCCGAATCCTCGACGTACGGGGCGATGCCGTCCAACGACGGATTGCGCTTGAGCGCTTCGGTGCTCAGGTCCAGCAGCCACGAACGCACCACGCTGCCATGGCGCCACACCTCCGCCACCTGGGCCAGGTCCAGTTCCATCTCCTGCTTGCGCTCCATCAGCGCGAAGCCTTCGGCGTAGGCCTGCATCATTCCGTACTCGATGCCGTTGTGGACCATCTTGGTGAAATGGCCGGCACCGAGGGACCGACACGGGCCCAGCCGCGATCCTCGGCCGGTGCCAGCGTGCGCAGCAACGGGGCGATCTGCTCCACCACCGGGGCGTCGCCGCCGACCATCAGGCTGTAGCCTTCCTGCAGGCCCCACACGCCACCGCTGGTGCCGCAGTCGACGTAGCCCAGATCGTCTTCGGCCAACGCCTTGGCGCGACGGATCGAGTCCTGGTAGTTGGAGTTGCCACCTGTCGATGACGATGTCCACCCTCGGCCAGGTGCGGGGTCAGCTGGCCCAGGGTCTGGTCGACGGTTTCGCCGGCCGGCACCATCAGCCACACCACGCGCGGCACCGGCAGCGCGGCGACGGCAGCTGCCCAGCGAATCCACCACTTCCAGGCCGGCCTCGGCGGCGCGCTGGCGGGCGCCTTCGCCCGGGTCGTAGCCGACCACGCGGTGGCCGCCGCGATGCAGGCGCTGGGCCATGTTGGCGCCCATGCGGCCGAGGCCGATCATTGCAATATCCATTGTTTCACCTTCAGTTGGGGTCTAGGGTCAGGCTGCCTGGCCTGCCGGTAGCCGCGCAGTGGCGCAGCTGCGCCTCGCGCCAACGCCGGTAGAGCGTGGTATGCAGATTGTGCACCGCCAGGTCGATCGAAAAACGGCGTTCGTGGGTTGCGATCAAGCAGGCGGGGCGACGTGGTAGCCGACGGGACGTATACCGCGCGGGTGCACATAGATCACGAACTGCTGGTAGAACGGATCGTCCAGCAGCTGGTCCATGCGTGCCAGCGTGTCGTGGTAGCGCGGTTCCAGCCGTGCGCGCAGGTCCGGGTCGCGCTCGAACAGCAGGCGCTCGAAGTAGCGCTGGCCGATGCGCGGGATGTCCTGCGCGAGCTTCCACAACTCGGCATTACGCTGGTCGTACCAGGCCAGCCCGCCGTGCAGGGCCAGCGCCTGCGCAGCGCCCTCGCCCACCCTCGACCACCACGAAGTTCTCGGCCTGGTTGCTCAGATCGTCCAGCGTGCCCTTGTCGTACACATGTTCGATGAAACCCGGCACACCAACGAACGCCTGCCGCCCCATCATCGATTGTGCGCACGGCCTTGCCATCGGCGAAGAAATCACCTGCGCTTGCACCAGCAGGATGCTGTCGGTGTCATGCAGCGCCAGGAACGTGCCAATCGACAGTTCCGCGGGCTTGAACTCGGTATCGAACGCAGCATCGCCATACAGTTCGCGTTGCGTGGCCAGCTGCGCGACCTGACGGCCGACGCCACATTCGGCACGCACGCTGCCGCTGTAGAACGTCTGCAATGCACGGCTGTTGCCGGCGCTGGGTACGTAACCGCGGCCGAAACTGCGCGTGCGCTGCCAGCCCTGCGCCCCCGGCACCCTTCACGCCGAAACCGATCCAGCCCAGCTGCGGACCGGAGAAGCGGAACGTCGGATTGTCCTGCAATGCGGTCGCCGCACGCTGCGTGGCGGCCCCCCAGCTCGAACGCATAGGCGCAGACCGTGGCCGGGTTGTCCCAGCAGTTGCCCGCAGTTTGTGCCTGTCGGGCCGCAGCGGGCATTGCGGCCGGCCACTGCACGCGTAGATCGCCCGCCGCCCTGCGCCTCGGCCAACGTGGCGCGCGTGCACACGGCACCGCCGTGCACCTGCGGCGTGGTCACCGCCGCCTCTTCGAAGCGCCAGCCCAGCCGCTGCAGCCAGGCCCTGCGTGCAGTCCACGGGCGTGGCCGCCGTCCCCAGCACGGGCACCAGCAGCAGGGCCATGCCGATCAACCTGCCGCGCACGCTCACCCCCTGGTCCGTGCCTGGCCGGTGCAGGTTCCGGAGTCGCAGGTACGGGCGAAGCAGGCGGCGCGGGCGTGGCTGCGTCCGCAGGCAGGTACTGCTGCAGGCGCTGGAAGAAACGACGATAGAACTCCGCATCGGTGACTGTGCTGCTGGCGACTTTCACCAGCGAATCATCGTTGCTGCCGAACGGCAGCGACACCGAGCCCAGTGCACCCACCGCCCACGCTGGCCGACGTCGGCTCTTCTTCAGCGCATAGCGGTCCTGCACCGCGCTGACGAACACCAGCGTCTGGCTGCCCACGCGGCGCACAGGAGATGCGCAGCACCAGCTGCTCGTGATCGTCGTCGCGGGGCTGGAAATTCTTGTTGCCCTCCACCTGTGCCTCGTCCGAGCGGGCAATGGCATAGCCCTGGCTGAGCAGGGGTCCGCCGCGCCGCTTCGCAGGCATCACCGGGACGGCCATCGACGGTGCGCGAGAAGGTGTCGCCGGAATCAAAGGATTCACGCAGCAGGGTGCTGTCGGGCGGCACGGCCACCACAGGCCGACAGGATCAGGGCGCTGCTGAGGGCCACGGCAGCGCTGGTAAGACGGGAGGCCCCGCATGGGTACTCCTGCGAGGACGGTACCGCCAAGGGTAGTCCCCGCAGCCGTGTGCGGCAGGTCGAAAGTACTCCCTGCCCGCCCCCCGCCGTTGCGGCCTGTTCATGCACAAAAAAGGGGACGGAGGGGATTAAGTCGTTTGTGCCACAAACGACTTAATCCCCTCCGTCCCCCTTTTCAAGCGGGCTGGCGGATCAGTCGGCCCAGCGGCCGGCGCCGGTGGACTGCGGCAGCACCTGCGCCCGACAGCGGGCGGTCGTTGGCCAGCAGGTTCACCGCATCGGCCAGGATCGAGGCCGACTCGCGCAGCAGCGGGTCCGGACGCTTCTCGGCCGCCTTCTCGCGCGCCGCATCCTTGACGATGTCGCGCTCGTTGCCGGTCAGGCCGTCGTCGCCTGCTGTCATCGGCCAGCGGGTCCAGGGCCAGGCCCAGTTCCTTGCGCTGCACCTGGCGTTCCTTGCGCTGGGCATCCTGGCGCTCGCGTTCGGCGCGGCGGGTCGCCCTCGTTGAGCGAGATGTACTTCTTCGCTGCCTCGGTGCGGGAACTGCTGCACGTCCTCGTTCCACCACTGGAATTCCTTGTCGGTGGCGATGCGCGCGTCGTGGCGGGTTTCCAGCTTCGGCAGCAGCGGTGCGAAGTTGCCGTACTGGGTGTGCGGCACGGCAGCGATGCGGGTCCACGGCAATGCGTTGTCGTAGGTGCTTTCGCCGAACTCGGTGGCATCGACGCTGGCCGGGAAGGCCAGGTCCGGCACCACGCCCCTTGTGCTGGGTGCTGCTGCCGCTGATGCGGAAGAACTGGGCGATGGTCAGCTTGACCTGGCCGAAGCGCTGCGTTTCGCCGCTCGGCCAACGGTCGAGGTCGACGATGTTCTGCACGGTGCCCTTGCCGAAGCTGGTTTCACCGATCACCAGGCCACGACCGTAGTCCTGGATGGCGCCGGCAAAGATTTCCGAGGCCGAGGCCGAACCGCGGTTGATCAGCACTGCCAGCGGGCCGTCCCAGGCCACGCCCTGGTTGCGGTCGCTGTTGACGGTGACGCGGCCACCGGACTCGCGCACCTGCACCCACCGGGCCCTGCTCGATGAACAGGCCGGTCAGCTTCGATCGCTTCATCCAGCGAACCACCGCCGTTGTTGCGCAGGTCCAGCACCACGCCGTCCAGTTTGTCGTTCTTGAAACCGGCCAGCAGCTTGGCCACGTCGCGGGTGGCCGAGGGCGTAGTCGGCGGCATTGCGGCGACGGCCTTCGAAGTCCTGGTAGAAGGTCGGCAGCTTGATCACGCCGACCTTCCGTGCCGGTTCACCGTTGGCGGCCGGAATGGTCATGGTCTCGCCCTTGGCGGCCTGTTCGGCCAGGCGCACCTTCTGCCGGGTCAGCACCAGGGTGTGGTGCTTGCCGTCGGCACCTTCCGCGGCCGGAATGAATTCCAGCTTGACCTGGGTGTCCTTGGCGCCGCGGATCTTGGCCCAACGACATCATCGATGCGCCAGCCGATCACGTCCTCGACCAGGCCGGATTTGCCCTGGCCGACGCCGACGATGCGGTCAACCCGGCTTCAGCGTGCCGTCGACCGCTGCCGGGCCACCGGCGATGATCTCGCGGATCACCACCCACGTCGTCCTGGCGCTGCAGCTGTGCGCCGATGCCTTCCAGCGACAGCGACATCGCCTGGTTGAAGTTCTCGGCGGTGCGCGGGGTGAAGTAATCAGTGTGCGGATCAACCGCGCTGGTGTACGAGTTCATGAAGAACTGGAAGACGTCTTCGCCCTTCAGTTCATTGACCGACTTCTCCAGCGTGGCATAGCGCTTGTCCAGCGTCTTGCGGATATCGTCCGGCTTCTTGCCGGCCAGCTTCAGGCGCAGCCAGTCGTTCTTGACCGACTTGCGCCACAGCTCATCCAGCTCGGCGCTGCTGGCCGCCCACGGCACCTTCTTGCGGTCGTATTCGAAACGCTCGTCGGTGGTGAAGTCCGGCTCCTGCTTGAGCAGCCTGCGCGCGTAGGCCACGCGCTCGCCCCACGCGCTGCTTGTAGACGGCGAACACCTGGAACGCCGGCTCCAGCTCGCCGCCACGGATGGCCGAAGAGATATTGGCTTCGAACGGCGCGAAGCGCGCCACGTCGGCCTGGGTGAAGTACTGCTTGCCGCCGTCCAGCGTCTCCAGGTAGCGCTTGAACACGTCCTTGGAGGTGGCCTCGTCCAGCGCGCGCGGGCGGTACGCGTAGCGGCTGTCGGACAACAGGCCGTACACCAGCTTGGAGGTGGTCACCTGATCGGCGGTGGCCGCCGCGGGCAAATGCAGGCGAGTCGGCCCTTGGCCGCCAGCGCCAGCGGCGCGACCAGCGCCAGGGGCCATCAGGAATGCGGAGGGCTTTGAATTTCATTGACGTGCTCGAAGGCGCCTTGCCAAGGGGGAGAACTGCAGGGTGTTCAGACACCACGACAGTGCCGAAAGTTGCCGGGTTTGTCACCCAGCCCGCGCTCGGTGGAAAACCAGCCTAGCGGGGCGGTGTAGCAAATTGTGAATGCAGGCGAAGGCGGGACCGAGCCCTTGCTCGGCAGGCCACCAGCAAGCAGCCGAGCATGGGCTCGGCTCTACAGCAGGCAAAGGCGTGCGAACCAAGGTTCGCACCCACCGAAGGCGGCGGGCTCGCGCCCCGCCTGGGTCGTCCAGGAGACCCCTGCGCCCTTGGCCTGCACGTCGGCGTGGTACGACGAGCGCACCATCGGGCCGGACGCCACGTGGCTGAAGCCCAGCTCGTAGCCGTAGTCTTCCAGCGCCTTGTAGTCCTCGGGGGTCCAGTACTTCAGCACCGGGTGGTGGTGCGCGGTCGGCTGCAGGTACTGGCCGATGGTGATCAATGTCCACAGTCATGCGCGCGCAGGTCACGCATGGTGGCCTTGATCTGCTCGAACTCCTCGCCCAGGCCCAGCATGATGCCGCTCTTGGTCGGCACCTCCGGGTGCTGGCGCCTTGAAGTTCTTCAGCAGGTTCAGCGACCACTGGTAATCGGCGCCCGGGCGCACGTTGCGGTACAGGTCCGGCACGGTCTCGATGTTGTGGTTGAACACATCCGGCGGGTTCTGCGCCAGATCTCCAGCGCGCGCTCCATGCGGCCCTTGCCGCGGAAATCGGGGGGTCAGCACTTCAATGCGGGTACCCGGCGACTTCTCGCGGATGGCGGTGATGCAGTCGACGAAATGCTGGGCACCGCCGTCGCGCAGGTCATCGCGATCGACACTGGTCACCACCACGTACTTCAGGCCCATGTCGGCCACGGTCTGGCCCAGGCTGGCCGGCTCGTTGGCATCCGGCGGCTTGGGGGCGGCCCGTGGGCCACGTCGCAGAACGAGCAGCGGCGGGTGCAGACCTCGCCGAGAATCATGAGAAGGTGGCCGTGCCGTGCCGAAGCATTACGTGGATGCTTCGGGCAGCTGGCTTCCTCGCACACGGTCACCAGGCGGTTCTCGCGCAGCTTGGCCTTCAGGTTCTGCACGGCATTGCCCGAAGGAATGCGCACGCGGATCCAGGACGGCTTGCGCAGCACCGGCGCATCGGCGAACTGCACCGGCGAGCGGTTGATCTTGTCACCGCCCAGCTGCTTGACCCCCGGCCTGCAACGGCGCGGCGGACGGAGAGTCGCCCTGCACGATCTGCAGGGGAATGGAACGGGCGGTGGTTTCAGTCATGGCAGTTCCGGGGGGGCGGTCAGGCGGCCGCAGAAAAGATCGGGCAGTTCGGGCGTGTGCTGCAGCAGCAGGCCGAACTGGCGGGCCAGGTGGTCCAGCAGCACCGGCTTGACGGCCTCCATCCCGGAGGGCCCGCCCCAAGTCTACTACCGATGTCACCTGCAACCCCTGATAGCCACAGGGGTTGATGCGGTGGAAGGGTTCCAGGTCCATGGGACACGTTGAAGGCCAGGCCATGGAAGGTGCAGCCGCGGCGCACGCGGATGCCGAGCGCGGCGATCTTGGCGCCCGCCGACGTAGACGCCCGGGGCGCCCCTCGCGGCGTTCGGCACCGATGTTCCACTCGGCCAGGGTATCGATGAGGGCCTGCTCGATGCGGCAGACATAGTCGCGCACACACCAATGCCCAGCCGCGGCAGGCGCAACAGCGGGTAGACCACGATCTGGCCGGGGGCCGTGATAGGTCACCTGGCCGCCGCGGTCCACGTGCAGCACCGGGATCTCGCCCGGCGCCAGCACGTGCCTCGTCCTTGCCGGCCTGGCCCAGGGTGAACACCGGGTCGTGCTCGACCACCCACAGCTCGTCGGCGTCGGCGTCGCTGCGCTGGTCGGTGAAGCGCTGCATGGCACGCCACACCGGCTCGTATGCCTGGCGGGCCGAGGTCACGGACCACCGCCGGGCGCGGCGCGCGGTCTTCCGGGGGCGGCTTCGGCCGGGGCAGCTGTCGGCTACAGCGTCCACTTCACTTCCGGGTGGTCGCGCAGCGCCTGGTGCGCCAGGTCGTACTGTTCGCGGCTCTCGGCCTTGAACACGATGCGGACGGACACGTACTTGCCGTTGCTTGAGTGTTTCCCAGCTGATGCGTTCATTGACGACATCAATGCCGGCCGCCAGCAGCAGGCGGGGAAGCTCATGTTCCAGGCCGCGGTTGGCCGGGCCCATCGCGCTGAGCTCGAACTCGGCCGGGGAACTGGAAGCCGTGGTCGGGGTTGTCGGACTTGATTTCCATGCCCCCCATTATCGGGCCGCAGGGCAACAAACCCAAGAGTATTCATCAAAGTCAAAGGCGGCACCGGCGAGCCGCTGCGTTGCAGCGGGCCGCGCCCCTGGCAGGGCCGTCCACGAAGGCCGGCCCCGGCAGGCGGCGCGTGCCGGCGCGGGGCCGGCACGCAGCGGCTTACTTGGCCGTTTCCATCAGGGTAGTACTCGGCGTGATATCCACTGCTT